TTTCTCCCTCCCTCCCCCCCTCCACTCTCTCTGAAAAGCAATGGAAAAAATATCCTAGGGTAAGGATTAACAGCAACAAAAAAGAGGTGCTTATGTGCTTTATTAACTTTTAGCAAAACAAAATTTGAAAGCTCATCCAATACATTTTTTATTCCCAACATGATTCTAGAATCTAAATCTAGGTAATTCACTATCAGTTGTAAGTGGCCCCAATATTTTATGTATTACTAAGAAAGAAAATGTGATGCCAATTAAACTCCTGACACAACTTTGATTGGAAGAGGTATTTCTATCTCAGAGATATTAAAATGTTGAAATAAAGTGCATCTTAGTATTGATGAAAAACATGTCAGCTTCTTGAATTCAGGGATCATACGTGCTTGTGCATTACTGCCGCCCTCCTCTCTAGAAAAGTGCCTGGCACACAGTAGGTGCTCAGTAAATTTTGGTTGACTATAACATGCTTAAGGAAGAAAATCCTTACTCAAGGAGCAAGATTGAGCAATCACTGTTGTGGTCGTGCATAGCTTATTTATCTAGTTGATGAGACATTTTCTTTACATTTGCTTGTGGTTGCTTGTTCTTAGGCATTGTTCTGACTCTGCCCTCCCCTGGTTTACTTATCTATTACTTTATTGCTTCAGCAGATGTAAATTGGGCTCTTTTTTGTGATAGGCACTGTGCTCGCTAGCTATAAGAGATACAAAAATGAAGAAAACATATCTGCCTTTCAGAAAGCTAGCTTTGGTGTGAGGGACTGATATTAAACAAATATTCACACAAATAACTACATAATTACAATTTGATGTTTGCTCTAGAACAGGGGTGGGGAACCTTTTTTCTCCCAGGGGCCATTTGGATATTTATAACATCATTCATGGGCCATACAAAATTATCAACTTAAAAATTAGCTATGAAAAAAGCTCCTAGATTTATTGAATTTTGAATCCCCCCTTCAGTTGCCTTGGCAAGGCCAGACCAAATGATTTTATGGGCCAAATGTTCCCCACCCCTGCTCTAGAATAACAGTGTTCTGTAAAAAACCATAAACCAGTTGAATCCCTTTCCACTTCTATGTATCTTTATTTATTTTTATTTTTTTTAATCTTCACCTGAGGATATTTTTTCCATTGCTTTACAGAGAGAGTGTGGGGTGGGGGGAGAGAGGGAGAAACACCTATGTAAGAGAGATACATCAACTGGTTGCCTCCTGAATGAGCCCTGCCTGGGGCCAGGGATTGAGCCTGCAACTGAGGTTATGTGGCCTTGGCCGGAATCCAACCTGGGACCCTTCAGTTCTCAGGCCGACACTCTAACCACTGAGCCAAACTGGCTAGGATTTTATGTATCTTTAATAATCCAATAATCATACTTAAACTCTATGAATACTGTAATGCAAGAGACCACATTTAAAGTGTATCTGGATCCCCTTCTGAATCTTCAGGGTTTATATGGAACTTCCCAAATTACTACTATGAACCTCATGGTAATTTCTGCCTTTATTTTCAGAGTGGAAATATATCTTGTGGCAGAAATTAGTAAAACCTAACTGATAGTGGTGCTTGAATAGTGAAGTTTGGATTGCTTTCTAAGAATAACTCATTTTATCTCACAATCAATTCCTGAGGCTGATGTAGCACATACTATTTTTTTTTTTTAAATCTAAAAGTTTGACAAAATTAAGATTTTATTGGGAATATTACTATGTCATTAAGGGTGTTTTTTATATGTAGTTACCTTTTTAACTTAATTTAGTAAAACAAATGTGAGTTTATGTAGACATTTAAAAATATATGCACATATATAATACATAGATAATTTCTGTCCTTCCCAGGAAAATAAAGAATTTTTAATTTAAGTTTCTAAAATAAAATTTAGGCTAAAGCACTTAAACTGACTCCAGTTTAATAATATTTGGTTAGAAGTACTGCTTCTGGATGGAAATTCAGGCCAGCTAGAACTTTGTGCATTTATGTGGGTGTAGGGAACCACTCTGAAATTATAGGAACATAAGCAAAGGCGAAAATGAAAACATAATTGTTTTCATCATAGAGAATGGCTAAAGAAAAATTTCTTGAAAATTTTGCTGGGTTTAAGTCATATCTACAAAAAGTGTAAGTCAGCAAATTCTGAGTATCTACCAGGTCTAGGCACGTGCTAGGTACACATGGGCTACAGGTAAACAGAGTTCCTTGTGCAGTCAATAACATTCACAGTCACAAAATACATGTACAAAAAAACCCCTGTATTAAGAAATGTGTTGAGCAATATAAAGAAAATTATTCTAAAAAAGAAAAAGACAAATAAATGAAGATACACTTCCAGGTGGATGACAGAATGTTATAAATTTGTGATCTCTTATCAGATTAGTTAATTAGTTTGATGTCATTCTAATGAAAATGCCTATGAGTGGGTATTTTCTCCACTTGTTTGGAAGTTGGAGAAATCTTGATAGAATGTTCTAGGATTTTTCTGGAAGAATTAATTGGCAAAAGCAGTAACGAAATTTTTGAAAAAAAGTAATGAGTATCATGTACTTTCTGGATGTTAAGACTTTTTACTCTATAATTAAATGTGTGTGATTCTGGCAAAAAAATAGATGATAAATTAGTGGTACAAAAATAGCTTAGAAATGAACCTCTGTATAAGCTTCTTGAATAAGCTGGGAGGAGAAGAGTAATCGAACCAGTAGGGCGGCTGCTAAGGTTTTGGGGAAGTAAACTCCCTTGAGTCATCAGTTCCCATCAAAACCAAAATAAATGCCAGATGAACTAAAAAGTTAGTGGTAGAAAGAAGAGACAACTTAAAAACAAAAATACAGCTACCAGAAAAGAGAAATGACTAACTTTAAGATGGGGGAAGTTTTATTAAGCTTAAAAGTGTTAGAACACATCTTGACCAAACCCAAAAACTAAAAAGCAAAATACAAGGAATTAAAAGTAAACCAAACTAGGAAAATAGGATAGCACATATGATAGGTATAAGGGCTGAAGAACATTAATATAGAAAGAGAATATACAACGAAGAAAACTTTCAGTGCGCAAATAACACGAACATACAATTCAAAACTTAGGAAAATGTTCATTCTCACTAACATAGGCATGTAAGTTATAGTTTTATATAAATTTCAAAGATTTCTTTTGGGGTATTTTTGTGTATGTTTGCTTATTTATTTTGAGGAATGTTATATCAACATTCCCCAAATATTTATTCTTCTGAACTGCTGATTTTTACCCCAACCTTTCTGTCTCATTGCAGGGAAGCATGGCCACTGCTGCCCTTCCTGAGAGCGGGTCTTCCCTGGCCTTGCGAGCCCTGGGCTGGGGCTCACTGTATGCGTGGTGCGGGGTTGGTGTGATCAGCTTTGCAGTCTGGAAAGCTTTAGGAGTTCACAGTGTAAGTAACTGTAGTCCTGTAATTGGTATCTGGAATGTTTGTTCTTTCTGTGGTCCAAATCTTCCTGATTCTCACATTTATATAGTTTGTACACTGTCTTAGGAAGTGATGACAGAGAAGATGACTAAATTCTTACTAATAACTAGGCAACTTCTTATTACTAGTAAATGATATAAGTAATTTAAGTATTTGAAGGTGGTGAAACTTCAAATATAATTAATAACTAATTCATAGCATATGTTCATTCTATGTAAATTGGCACTAGCTACTTGTACAGCGAAATTATTTCATTTGGAACAACTTTCTATGCTGTTTGACATCCTTATATATAAGTATTCTTCTAAAATAGTTAAAGCATTGTAAAATTATTGTTTAAATTATTAATGTGTTTATACATTATGAGGAAAATCCTAAAAGCCCCTGAGTGTGTGTGTAATTTAGACTCTAAGCTATAAAGCCATACATTCAGAATGATTATCTTCTTTTTTATTAAACTACCAGTAGTAGGAAGCTCTGTGGACCACGCTCTCTGACAGGTGGGAATGATGGTGGTGTGGAATATGTGGCAGCAGTAGAGTTGATGAAAATAGGTGGATCTATTTCAAAGGTAGAGTCAATAAAGATTTGTTACAGATTGGGTGTAAAAGGTGAGAGAAAAGTCAGGGATGTCTCCAAGGCTTTTGGCCTATGCAGCTGGAAAATGGATGGGGATCAGTGGGACAGGAGCAGATGTTGGGGGTTGAGTCAGGAGCTCAGTCTGGTGCTTGGCAGTTAGAGATGTGTTAGATAGCCAAGTGGAGATTCAAGAAAGCAGTTAGATATAGAAAGTTGGAATTCTGGGGAGAGGTGCAAGGTGAAGATACCAATTTGAGACTCATCAGTATATAGATAGTATTTAAGGCCATGAGACTAGATCACCTCACTAAGACAGTGAATATAGAGAGGTCTGAGGAAGGAGCTCTTGGGCAGTCCTGAGGTTTAGAGGGTAGGGAATGAAGAAAGTAGCAAATGAGATTTCCCTAGTGAAGAGGTAGGGAAGCCAGGAGAATGGTGACCTGGATGCCAAGTGAAGAAAACCTTTCCAGGAGGTGTGTGTTGGGCTAAGTTGCATGAGATGAAACCTGGTGGTTCACTGAGGTAGCATGTGGCAGTCATTGAAGGGTAAAGCCTGAGTGGAGTGATCCCAAAGAGCACGGAGGAGAGAGACCAGAGGCAGGATGTATAAGCAAGTCTTAGGTTTTGCTGTAAAGGGAAAGAAAGAAGTGGGGTTATAGTTAGAAGTGGGGTCATAGTTAGAAGCTGGGGTCAAGAGAGTTTGTGTTTATTTTTTAAGTTAGGAGGATTAGCAGCATGTATGCATGCTGATGGAAGTGGTTCACTTAGGGGGGAAGGGAGGGGAGAATTGCTGGAGTAATAAACATTATTATTATTTTTACTGGCATTGAGTTTTTCACATTCACTTAATCATAACTAAACATAGGTGGTGGTGTACTTTTCACTCAAAATATACCAACAAACAGAGGTTGCTTTTCTCCTAGTCTGACTAACCTTTATTTTTAAAGTAATTGCTAGCAAATTAGCAAATTTTCATAGACTAACAAAATTAGGTTATTTAAATTAAATTATGTGCTTGAGAATTTGGGCTTTATGGGCTAGACTGTGCTATTTTAGTTTCTAGAATGTGAACTTCTTTGTTGTATGGGACTGATAAGAGGATTATTCCCTAAATAAAACATTTGGGGGAGAAATACTCGTTTCTGATTGGCACTGTTAGGGACTGCAAGCACACTCCCTGCACAGGTCATTAGGCATGTCTGCATGATCTCTACAGCTGAACTGTCTCACAGAAAAGTGAACCACTGGCACTTGGTCAAGGGCACATCTTTTGAAAGCAGTGTATTTATTGATTTGTTCATTCAGAAGATACTTGTGGGCCTACCCTGAGCCAGGCACTACTAAGACAGAGCTCCCCAGTGGACGTACAGGCGGCTTAGGTTTTAAGACTTTCTTTGCAAATTCTTATCAGACACAAGCACTGAGGCTTGTGGAGAGCAGTGTAGTGTGTTTCAGCTCTGCATTTAGAGAGTTTGATGAGAACTGTGAGGCTGCCCACAGAAAAGTCCAGCGATGAACATTTCTCACTATTTACTGCCTCTTAATGGGAAATGTCATCTTTCTATGAGTAAGGAAAACAGTCTCAGAGAATGTTGAACAGAAGTGGTCCAGGTCTGTACACTCAGTAAATAACTGAGATTTCTAGATCAGAATCAATTCAGTGTCAAATAATTGTTGGTAGCTGCCTTTAGTTGTATTATATCTCTACTATAAACCCAGTTTTTTTTTAAAAAAGGGGTGCCATCTAATGGCTGACCCAGAGCAGCTTACATTCCCTATTGTAACTCACAGCTACATCTGCTGGCCTGTGTAGGGAATGCTTAAAGCAAAGCTCTTCAGTGTCTTAGGAATCTTTTGGATTTACTTTTTATTTGTTGATAATTACTATGGAATTTCATTTCACATAGAATACGTATAATACATGAAATATAAATTTGTATTTTACACAGTGGTATATCATTTAATCAGAGGTTCCAGAAAAGGAGAGCTAGTGGAAGCTATTTTGTCAGTAGACTGAAGTGGATAAGTGCATCCAGATTTAAGATGGGACCCTCCCTCCACCTGCTGATCAGCCTTGGACCGCAAGTACGGCCTGACGGCTCAGTATGGGTGCATCAGTTACTTTGAACTATGGTATTTCATCATCTGATTATGACTGAGGCTGCATTAATTTGATCACAGTAACTTAACTGTGGAAAGAATGAACAGTCATTATGGGCTTATGGTCCTAGGAGACTGGCACATTCAGGCCAGGTGGGAGCCAGCATGGCGCTGTGATAGATTGTTTTGCCAGGGCACACAGGTTAAGTCTGGAGAATAGTTGGGATCAATGATCTTTAGTCAGTCAACAGGACCCTTAGTTATATCAACTGGTAATTCTCTAGTTACCAAAGAAAAAACCATGCCACCTATAGTTAACTTGCTTGTTACTCAAAAGTAATAGCTTGTTAACTTTTTTACCTTTTATTATAGTAGGTACTGTATTAATGTTTGACAGGATTTCTGAAGAAGTTGAGCATATTTATAGGGACTGCCTTGTCTTTCTTCCTCCCCTTAGAAGGAAAAACAATGGGGGTGTAAATAATTCCTGGTTGATGAAGTTGGAAGCTTTGTAGCTTTTTATTCCTGTGGACCCATGTCCTACATTTGTCTGAAGTGAGGTTTATAGCCTCAAAGTTCTGGTCAGAATCTCCCATTGCTGACGTTTACTGTGGTTTGTGTATAATATGTTCATGATACTCGGCGTAGTTAGACTTTACAGATAATTCACAGTTGCCCTCATAGGAGCTCAACAGAAATAAAACCGTGAATGAAAGCATTCTTAGTTACTGTGAAATACTTTAGATTGTCCAGAGATTTAAATTTAAAAATTAACTTATAAATGAAGGGAGTTTTTTGGTTTGTTTTTTTACCCTTTACCGTAGGATAAGAGGTATTTGTCTTTATTTGTACATACTGGTATTTATTTTTGAAGAAAAATATATTTTGGACCTCTTTTTTTAAACAAAAATGGCTTTAAAAAAAATGTACTTGCCCTAGCCAGTTTGGCTCAGTGGTTAGAGGGTCAGCCTGAGGACTGAAGGGTCCTGGGTTCGATTCCAGCCAAGGGCATGTACCTCGGTTGCAGGCTCGATCCCAGCCCCAGTCAGGATGCATGAGGGAGGCAACCAATTGGTGTCTTTCTCTCACACAGATGTTTCTCTCTCTCTCTCTCTCCCCCCCTTCCACTCTGTCTGAAAGCAATAGAAAAAATATCCTCAGGTAAGGATTAAAAGAAAAAGAAAAAAGGTACTCAATGTTAAAAAAAAAAAAGAAAGAAAGAAAGAAAAAAAGAATTAATATAGGAAAGTACAGGAAGGGAAACAATTACTAGAAATCTCACTGAGTTGTAATCACCTGTTCCAGTAGAAACATCCTTTGGGACCTTCCTCTGTAGGCACATTCATCTAATTGTACACAATATTGTTTTACTGTACTTCTCTAGAACCCTTTTCACTGACCAGTCATTGGACTCTTTGCACAGCAGAGTATATAAATCTGTCACTTTCGTGGCTACATGGTACTCTACTGTGCAAGATAATTTACTTAAACATTCTCCTGCCAGCAGTATTTAGAGTGTGACTTTTTACTATTAAACACCACAGAAAACCTCTAATATGCACACATCTTTTTGTACTTTTCTTGGTCAAGAAATTTGTCCTAAAGACAGAGTTGTTATTGTTGAATCAAAGTGCATGTTAAAATGTTTTTGATATTTGTTGCTAAACAGCCCTCCGGGAAAGCTGATCCAATTTAGAAAATATCAACAGTGCATACAAGTTTCCTGGCACCCTTGCCACTGGTGGCTTCTATTACTCAGAAATGTCTGCCAATCTGATAGATGGGAAGTAATCTCTTCCTTGACTGCATCTCTCCGAACGCCCTGCTGCTGTAAAGGCTTTTATGGAAATAATCTGTGATTGGGGTCTTGCCTCCTCTCTGCTGAGGTAGGCTGCTTCTTTCTCAAACGCTCAGGCCTTGTTCTTGGAAAAACAAAATAAAACATATATTTTTTAAATGTTCCTCTAAAAATTGTCATTTGACTTTCCTATTCTAAGAAAGATCCTTTAAGACAAGTAATACTATCCCCTTCCTCTGGGACAGTATTAGATGCATGCTAATAAAATTTATTTTCTCCAGCTCTCTTTAGTAGCTGCCGCTGGGCATACTTTTTATGTTAATATTTAGGCTCACTTCTTAATTACTTTATGACTAACTTGAGGGCTTTTGCTAATTATAGTCAAATCTCTTTCTTTTGGATTTGCTAATTTCAGTTTTACCAACATTCTTATGTATCTCGTTAAGTACATTTATTCTTACGCTATTTCAAATGAGGCAGAGAAAAT